TTCTAACGTATACCTTATCTTTTTTTTTTTTTTTTTTTTTTTTTTTTGTTGATACACAGTAATGTTGTTATCCGATATGTTACAATATTGGCTCCACCTGACTCTCCCAACACCGATGGAATTGATCCAGGTATGTAATGTAAAACAATAAAAACTAAAATGTCGATTTATTACCATTATTCTCTTCTTTAGTAAATTACATTTTTGGTCCTCGAGTCTAGCTGATTTTTTCAATTTTACCCCCAAAAAGTTCTCTTGCAGTTTTGCTCCTTTGAGGTTTTTTGTAATGTTTTTGGCCCCTTCTCCAAATAAATGACTATATTGCTTGGATTAAAATTGCAAAAATTAGCTATACTTTAAAATGGGACAAAAAACATAACAATAATCTTGAATAAGGACCAAATTTGCAAAAATCAGCTACACTCAGGGACCAAAAATGTGATTTACTATTTATATTTTCTCAATTTGGTGTAGATTCAAGCTCCCATGTATGCATAGAAGACTCCTACATTTCAACAGGAGATGATCTGGTGGCAGTAAAAAGCGGGTGGGACGAATACGGAATTGCATACGGCCGTCCAAGTAACGACATCACAATCCGGCGACTCACCGGTTCATCTCCGTTCGCTGGAATCGCAGTCGGAAGCGAAACTTCCGGCGGAGTAACTAACGTGTTAGCAGAACACATAACCCTTTACAACACCGGAATCGGAATCCATCTAAAGACAAACATCGGTCGTGGCGGAATCATACGAAACATAACCGTTTCCAATGTTTTCATGGATAAGGTCCGGAAAGGAATCAAGATTGCCGGTGATGTCGGCGATCATCCTGACGAAAACTATAACCCGAATGCGTTACCGGTTATGAAACATATCAGGATTAAGAATGTTTGGGGTGAAAATGTCCAGCAGCCGGGGTTAATCCAGGGTTTAAAGAACTCACCTTTTACAGATATTTGTCTGTCTAATATTAATCTGTTTGGGTCAAGTGGGGCCAAAAATGTTCCTTGGAAGTGTGCCGATGTTAGTGGTGGTGCGGTGCAAGTTAGCCCATCACCGTGTTCGGAGCTCATTAGCAGTCGTCAGACAGGTGAGTGCTCTGTACCTTTCTGAATGTGACGATTTCAACTGGGTCCATATAGTGTTGTAATATATTATACAATATGATTCCTTTAATTTTATAACAATTGGCAAGTTATAAGGCTGAAGTTTGTTATTTCCTGTTTGTATGTATACTAGATTACTAGTGGACTCTTTTTCTTCCTAATACATAACAATGATGCAATGACAATTGACATGCATAGTTCAAAATGAGATCAAACTCACTCTCTCAAAAACTTACAATCACTAATTAGAAAAAAGATACAATCATGAAGATTTGAAGGTTTAATGTATTCTTTGATGAGAAATCATTAGCAATTCCTCAAGAGTATTCTATCAAATGAAGGCATATGAATTGGATGTATAACTCAAGCACACTATCCAACAGCTCACTATGCAAAAAGCAGAAACTCGTCTGACCAAAGTTAGCTCTTTGAAGGTTTGGAAGAGGTTGGTTAATTAAGCTAATATAAGCTTTGTGCATCTCCCATGGATGCAATTAGTTATGTACAAATTACAAAAAAAGAAAGTATAATAAGGTAATAATTCAAAACGAGCTTATATACATAAAAGATAGTATACATTGACGGGTGGATGGTAGATCAATCGAGGAATATTTCTCAATCAAAAGTGTGTTTCAGAAACTTGCGAATGTTCTTCATAAATCCAGTTCCATCATCTACCTTCTTCTGTCTGTGTTGGCGCATCAAACTCTTCAGCTTCTCCCGATCAAACACTATCTTCGTCTTCATTACGTTGTCGTTGTTATTGCGAGGTTGGTTATGGTGGCGACGGGAGCCGTAATGGTGCTTCATCTTCAACATGTTCAACGGAACCTCGCCGGGGAAACTTTCCGGAATCGAATTATCGGATTTACGTGAAGTGATCTCGTCGTTCCGAGGGATCCTGTTTTGCGTCACGGACTTCCGGTAAGGTCGACGGTGTTTACCGATCTGTTTTGGCCCCAGAGGAGGTTTACCACGGAAGTGTCGGTTGATAGGATGGAATCTGGAGAAATTCGTACCCTGCGTTAAATCATTCGTGGTTTTTTCCGGTTCAGGCAGGGGGTTGTTGGCGGTGGATTCGTCGGAATCCGATTTACTCTTTTCTCCGGGGAGACGAATGTTTGAACCGGCGGAAGCTAGAGATTCGCATGAAGTGTTTGCCAACTTGGATGCATGTTCAACGGCTGAAGGATTGGTTGCCGGTGGAGCTACCGGGAAACGTGCGGCGGAGACGGTAAACAAGAAGAGCGTGAAGATGGTGAAGGCGGCGATTTTGTCGTCCATGATTTTGCATTTGTTGTTAGATTTCTACATTGAGTTTGTTAAAAAAGGAAGTTGTTCATCACAAGAAGTTTGACCTTGATTGTCAAAACGGGTCCGGAAAGTACGGATCATCATCCACGTGTTTGGGGTTATTCTCGTTTCTTTTTCTCCAAATTTCTTTAATTTTATATAAAACAAATATTTTTGAAACTAATCTATACATAAATAAATCATCATTATGATGTAAAAATAGTAACGCTATTATGGTTATTATTATTTTTTTGCTTAATACAATCATAATAATTTATTGTTTTAAGCCTGGAAACCCGACTAACGATTATCTATTTGTCATTTCTTTTTTCTACAAATTTCTTTTACATAAAAATAGATAATTGTCGTAAAAACTGTTTGTTGAAATGACTAAGTTAAATGATTCTTCAGTTTCTATCATACAATCGAAAAAATAAAAAATAAAATTATATCTGCAAAATTTTATCCAAACACACATTACTTCATCTATATAAGAGTTAAAGGAGAGAAAGAAACAACCTTCACGTTTTCAGAGTTGATCAATAATTTTCTCTATTTGCAAATGGTTTCAATTGTAGGTAGGTAGAATCTTAGGCTTGATTAATTATCATATCCTATATATCATTTCTTAATATCCATAATTCTATTCGTCATTTAAAAAAAAAAAACATACCTTAAGGCTTAAGCATTTTACCTTCAACTTACATTTACACAAAAGGTCAAAAGCCAATTCATAAGCTGTTGCTAATGAAAAAGCTAACATTGTGTGCCATTGGTTTCTTCATGTCACCATATCTTTTTTGACTTGTAACAACAAGACATTGAGTATCTGATCTCACTCGCAAGCCTCTAGCAAGACCTCCAAACACATGCTCTTAGTCTTATATAAGAATAAGAGGCATTACATACATGTAGGGTCAATGCTAGAAGCCCTTGAGGGAGAGCAAGCAATCAATGCCTTGGAAAAAAATTCATTTAGATTTCTTCTTTCTAATCCTATTGGTGTTAGGGATGTTGATAAACCTTATTGGACAAGAACCCCTTTTATAAGCCAACAAAATATGGATTTATTGCCAAAAGAAAAATGGAAGAAACAAAATAGTCCAATATGGTGGGGTCTTACATATCTTTGGCATCTGGCATTTAGTGCCAATTTATAAATCTTAATAGTCCAAAAAGATAAGATTTGTGCTAAAAGCATATCTACCTACAAATCACCAGCCCACAAATAAGCACGAGTAACATATTCTATTCTATTATTAGAGATAGATATGTTTTTCATTATCAATAATAAAGTTTGTACGAAGAGTCGTATCATCATTTGGTACGTAGTAGAGATGAATAAAAGGATTAGGTGTGTATCTATCCGGTAACACTTTGTCTTTTACACAACCAACAAAATAAAATGGTTTTATATAAAAAAAATTATACATAGATAGCGTTTGAGAAATAGGACATCTAAACATAACAAAACTAGACTAAATATTTGTATATTAGAACACACTAAGACAAGATATAAAAATTTACAAGGTTGCAATTAATACAAGATATCCACCACAACCACGAAACCACCATTAGAATCATGACGAACTTTTTAGAATAATGAATCCGACCACCCATATATTGTTGAATGCATGTGTTTTGTGTTGATTACTTGATGCATATTTAAATGTTTTTATCTTTTAGTAAATTGTACAAAACGACTAATTTGTTCTTTGTCATGTCATTTTTCCATAATCTTTCCATGGACCACAAATCATTAACTTTTAAATAGCAGAAAGAAAAAGCAACCAAATTGATGAAAAGAAGGGAAACTTGAAAACGATCCACTACCAAGAACGTTCGCGACCCTTGAAATAGATGACAAGTCATTAAGTCAATATACTTTTGATCTATAACACTAAGAATCAAACAATATTTGACATGCTTAGCATTTAAGAAACCATACCTAATCAAAGTAATGGAGGACAAAAGGCTAACATATAGGATCATTTTTTTTAATATTATAGTTAATAAAAGCAGTTTACAAATTTTCCTACAAAATCATAAATTAGATAATTATCATTTCACAAAAGAATTTTACAAAATCATAAATTAGTTCACTTTGTAGATTTTTTTTTATTTTGGGATCTGCAACGTCTTTTATGCAAATCAAAATATTGTGGCATATTTGACATTCTTTCTTTAATTTTCGTCGGTGCTCCTTTTGAGTGACAACGGAATCTTATTATTTTGCATATTTGACATTCGTTTCATATTGTCTGTATACCAATTTTGGGATAAATAGGTAGAAAATGATTAACTTTTGTTATGTTTCTTTTTATCCCAATCTTTAGGCCAAATCTACATGGTGGAATATGAATTTAGAATCTTTTATGTATTGTATAATACCAAACGTATGTTTGTTTTCAATATTTTTCTGCATCATACAATGGAATTTTAAGAAAAAGGAATAAGAATATTTTTGTTGGAAGGGGAACTTCCATATCGAGGATTTCTAGGTCGGCTTTCGTGTATCAATTATTCCGTCCTGGGCATTTGAGGATATTTAACTCCTCAATACCGGCCCTGATTCATAGTCACATGGGGGTGATTAGTGCAAAATTTGAACACGAGTCAATAAATTAATCACAACATCTTTTACATACTTTACCAAGTCTCCACAACCCAAGTGGCTGAATAAGAATCTTTTAAAAAATATGGAATAAGAATCTTGCAATTGTTAGAAGGGATAATCGCATAAAATACACTAAATTTACATAAAATTTTGATTTTGAAACTATGTTTTTTTTTCTCAATTTTTTAGAACATCTAACACACCTACCCACTATCTTACTCTTAAATCTACATCTTTTGTCTCTTGTGAGACTTGAACCCTTACCCTTAGGTTGATGAACATCTTTCCGTTAAATCCCGATACTACTAGGCTATAAGCCATTTGTTTTTTTCTCAAGTAAATCACTAAGTTTATAATTTTGTTGCAAATTTAAACAATCGATCGGTTTGCTTCAAGTGTTTCATGTTTTTCACTTGCTGATTAGCCAAAAAGCTGATGTAGCTTCCACATATAATTATAGTTGGCAAACATTTGAGATAATTGAACCCTTACGCATATCTATACTCACTTTCTTTTATTTCTTCTCCCAGAGTATCATGATTTTGTGTAATGACTTCCCAATGCTACTTTAGTGGTTCATCATCTAGAGTGATGTAAGCAAGTGAAACATCCCAAAAATCCAGGGTAAAAATTTCATTTTTATTATAATCAAAACACTATTTAACCTTGACCAAACATTTAAAAGTATTTTAACTAAAACAATTATCAGAGTTCATTCCCAAAGATCACATATTGCGGAAAACACGAGTGTATACGTTGCGATCGTCCCGAGATCTTTCATTTGAAAACTGGAGTACCTGAAACATAAACTAAAAACCATAAGCACAAAGCTTAGTGAGTTCCCCAAATACCACACACCATACAATAAATATACAATAAGCATATAGTGGGCCTCGCCCGACATCGGAACCCGTCCGACATCGGGCCCCGCCCGGCATCGAGTTGAGCTCGGTAAAACGGGTCCCGCCCAACATACAATAACATATCTCAAATAAACACATACATATGCAATAATCACATAGATACATAGCATACAAATATTCATCAGGCCCCGCCCGACATTGAGCCTTAGCCCATAAAGCATATAAACACAGTCACATGCAAGAGTCACAAAGACAGCTGGCATACTAATAACATGACATAAACATGGGCCGACATTGGTGCATTCGACCCATAGAACAGTGAGGAGACTCACCTCGAATGCAGAAGCTCCCTGAAAGAATTCCCTAACTGCTGCCTTGACGACACCTCCGAATTATCAGCTCAAGAATAACA